AGGATGAAGAGATGAAGGGATGAAGAGATGAAGGGATGAAGAGATGAAGGGATGAAGGGATGAAGAGATGAAGAGATGAAGAGATGAAGGGATGAAGGGATGAAGAGATGAAGAGATGAAGAGATGAAGGGATGAAGAGATGAAGGGATCTAAGGATGAAGAGATGAAGGGATGAAGGGATGAAGAGATGAAGGGATGAAGAGATGAAGGGATGAAGGGATGAAGAGATGAAGGGATCTAATGATGAAGAGATGAAGAGATGAAGGGAGGAAGGGATGAAGAGATGAAGGGATGAAGAGATGAAAGGATGAAGAGATGAAGGGATGAAGAGATGAAGGGATGAAGGGATGAAGAGATGAAGAGATGAAGGGATGAAGGGATGAAGAGATGAAGGGATCTAAGGATGAAGAGATGAAGAGATGAAGGGATGAAGAGATGAAGGGATCTAAGGATGAAGAGATGAAGGGATGAAGGGATGAAGGGATGAAGGGATCTAAGGATGAAGAGATGAAGGGATGAAGGGATGAAGGGATGAAGAGATGAAGAGATGAAGAGATGAAGGGATGAAGAGATGAAGAGATGAAGGGATGAAGAGATGAAGGGATGAAGAGATGAAGGGATCTAAGGATGAAGAGATGAAGAGATGAAGAGATGAAGGGATGACGAGATGAAGGGATCTAAGGATGAAGGGATGAAGGGATGAAGAGATGAAGGGATGAAGGGATGAAGAGATGAAGAGATGAGGGATGAAGAGATGAAGGGATGAAGAGATGAAGGGATATAAGGATGAAGAGATGAAGAGATGAAGAGATGAAGGGATGAAGAGATGAAGGGATGAAGAGATGAAGAGATGAAGGGATGAAGAGATGAAGGGATGAAGAGATGAAGAGATGAAGGGATGAAGAGATGAAGGGATGAAGGGATGAAGAGATGAAGAGATGAAGGGATGAAGAGATGAAGGGATGAAGAGATGAAGAGATGAAGGGATGAAGAGATGAAGGGATGAAGGGATGAAGAGATGAAGGGATGAAAGATGAAGGGATGAAGAGATGAAGGGATGAAGGGATGAAGGATGAAGGGATGAAGAGATGAAGGGATGAAGGGATGAAGGGATGAAGGGATGAAGAGATGAAGAGATGAAGGGATGAAGGGATGAAGAGATGAAGGGATGAAGAGATGAAGGGATGAAGAGATGAAGAGATGAAGGGATGAAGAGATGAAGGGATGAAGGGATGAAGAGATGAAGGGATGAAGAGATGAAGGGATGAAGGGATGAAGGGATGAAGAGATGAAGGATGAAGAGATGAAGGGATGAAGAGATGAAGGGATGAAGGGATGAAGAGATGAAGAGATGAAGGGATGAAGGGATGAAGAGATGAAGGGATGAAGAGATGAAGGGATGAAGGGATGAAGAGATGAAGAGATGAAGGGATGAAGAGATGAAGAGATGAAGGGATGAAGGGATGAATAGATGAAGAGATGAAGGGATGAAGAGATGAAGAGATGAAGGGATGAAGGGATGAAGAGATGAAGGGATGAAGAGATGAAGGGATGAAGAGATGAAGGGATGAAGGGATGAAGAGATGAAGGGATGTGGGTATTGATGAGGCAGGAAGGGGAATGGATGAATGAATAGGAAAGGTGGGTTGTGGGGTTAGAGGTCAGCTGGAGGTGAAGCTGCTCCTGAACACAAGTGTACTAATAACATAAATACACACAGTAAATGTTTATTACTCAGGTCATGGTTTAAGTTTGTTGAGAACTAGACTATTTTGAGACAAGTTTATCATTTCTTAAGAGGTGAGAGAGAGTTCCACAATGTTGGCCTGTGTGAGCGGACCCCACTGAAGCAGCTTGTTGCCCCCCCATCACATCCATTCATCAAATATGTGTTATATGTGAATCTGAAAGTGACTAGTACTTACAGCTGTCTGATAACGGACTGCAGTAAAGTATGAAATAGTTTCTTCTAAAATGTTATAAAGTATGACTTTAAAGTAAAATATCTCTAAACTGAACTTCACTTCTTAAAGGGGACCTATCATGCAAAATGCACTTTAGTACGTCTTTTCTACATGAATATGTGTCCCCGGTGTTCCAGGGAACTCACCAAGTGTCAGAAAACACAACCCTCTCTATTTTCCTCCATACCCAAATCTCTAAAAAAGGGGCTGCAACGGATCTGATAAAAACTGATCCAGATTTGAACACTGTCCTGACGTCAGGACGGTGGCGCTACGGCTATTGGGCCAACTCCACCAATCAGGAGGAGACAGCCACGGCCATTGCCGTTCGAAAGCGCTGGAGACGCTGTAGTACATATGCCAGGCCTGTAGATGGTGCTGTTCTCACAGAATCAGCCCTTGCTAAAACAGAGCTAAAAAATGTTAAATTGAGCAAAATGAGGCATGGCTAAAATGCATGATCTGTTTGGTATTTTGAAAAAGAAAAAGTATAAATATGCCTTATATAGGTATGGTCCTACACTATATTATTATAATATAGCATGATAGGTCCACTTTAAGTAAATGGAGTAAAAGTTACTTTGCAGCGAGAAGTTAAAGGTCAGAAACATTTGAGGCGTAACAACATTTATTTATTGTTAAAAGATCCATTCAGACTTGTTTACTGACTTTCCTGCTCTGCTGATTCTGGCTGTGGATTGTATTGTACAGTGGTTGCATATTCTTCATACCAAGACACAACCATGCACGTCTCAGGTGTGATCCGGTCCGTCTTGTTTTTGTGTTTTCAGCACTTTGATGCCACGTCTTCAGATAAAGGTGAACAGTTGATCAGAGACAGCATTTCTCTCTTTCTCTGTTTCTCTCTGAAGGAGAATCAACGATCTCAGGTTTTTCTCAACAAACAGCAGAATCTCTGGTGAGTTTCCTACAAATCTCAAACACACTGAATACTTCTGTTAGAACCACAATTTGATTTAAAGAAATCTCAAGGTAGGACTACTCTTTAAGGCAAAACGTCACATTTAGTGCATTGAATTTGTCTTTTTAACTTGTATGTTTTTTGATTGGATATTGTTACTGGTCAATGTTCTGTATTCTTTACCTGCTTAGGGACTACGGACATGAATTGGCATTTTATACAGATGGTCAATAATTGTCCCTATCAAATAAATAAACAAGATACGTTTTTTTCTAAGCTCTGTTATGACATATTCAGTTGTTACAGATATCATACTTCTCTCTGAAATCTTTACATTTGGTGATATTACTTTGATATTATGTCAACAATACTTTAGATAACTCTCTCCTTATTTCCAGTGGTGCAGGGCTTTTGATCAATGTCGTAGAACAAAATGTAAAATAAGGAAGTGCCAACATGCTGAATCATTTGCTGGTTTTAGAACTCATTCCTGCGCCACCTTTTGGCATATACTGTCTGATATTCAAGAAGACGTTGACCTTGTTCTTATATAAAGTAACAGAAACTTAGACGGTGAGGAGGATCAGACAAAAAGTATTCAGAGTCTTTACTTCAGTAAACGTACCAATACGATTAATATCAAAGAGTCCTTTCACAAGTAAATGCATTTTAAACCAAACTTACTCTCACTTTTAGAATATCAAAAGTAAGGGGGCTAATTTAGAAGGAAAATTGATTTCATATGTGCTATATTATAATATATGACATTATTGATTGTTAATATTGTTGTAACAATAAGCATTTTACTTCAGTTACTTACTGCATATTGTAATCTACAGATGACACACACTGCTTCTCTTTGTGGAGTAAAGCCTGTTCCCTTCCTTCCTGCTCTCAAACAGAGCCAGCTACCCCCTCTCAAGGTATGTGATGGTTCCCTCCCTTTTATATCTTCAGGTATGAACAACAACATGCTGGTACATGCAGAGGCTGCTTCCTCCTTCACTGCATTAAGTGAAGCAGAGCAGGAGGAGACTTGCTGTCTGTCAGACTAACTCTACCAAAGATGGACGACTTGCTGTTGTTGCCCATATAAGCTGTGGTCAGCCGGCAGTCAGGGCGTTGAATCGATGTCAGACGCCACGCATGTTAACCTGGTTAACTCGTTGTTCTGGTCATTGTGTATGTAGTCATGTGTTTATCATTAGACTGGGCCAACACTTTCCCTTTGACCCTGCTCAGAGAGCTTTATGCTGATGTCCCTGCAGTAAGTGCTGTTTTGGCTGTTTGGTCCTTAATTGTTTAACCACTAGATTCAGTGAGGTTTAGTGTGCTTAATATTCATCCAATATAACTCTAAGTGGTCCTCTTTTGCACCCATCTTGGCTCTGTGTTTATTTGTTCATTAGAAGGTTCATTTGTTTGCATCCATTTACTTAGAGATTGTCATGAAACCACTTTATTTTACCATCTCATTTCATTTTAATTTAATCGTTTATTTGAAGAGGGACAATGCACATTGATGAACATTTAAAACAAATAATGCTTCAACATGTAAGTATGTAGTCCGTCACGTACAACATTTAAGAACATGACATTTGTAAACATAGCAAAATAAATACATGATATGCAGAAAGAGCAAGAGCAGCATACAAGCATTTACCACCTGGCAGTACACTGTAGCAGCTACGACACATAAAGTGCAAGAAGAGATACCCCTGTGTTAAAGTGCATTTAGCGGTGATTACACGTCTGTTTGTTTCTCAACCATTCTTTGAGTTGACCTTTGAACCTATTGAGAGTGGGACAATCCTGTATCTCAGTTGGGAGGCTGTTCCACAAAGAGCTGCCTTTAATGGAGAGGACATTTTGTCCAGAAGTGGTCCGTCTGTGGTGGACCTCACAGTCTCCTCTGGTTTCTGACCTAGTGCAGCGTCCAGTGTGTTTTCTGTGGATGAATTCCCCTAAGGGGGGGGGGGGGGGGCAGTCCATGTAAACATTTATACATAAAGCACATACTTTTAAAAGACTTAAAATTGTCAAGAAACAGTGTTTCTCAAGGATGGTGCAGTGGTGGTATGAATATGGCTTTCTGTCAAACACCTTGATAGCTCTCTTGTACAGCTGTTCTATGGGTTTCAGGTTTGAGGCACAAGCAAACGACCAGTTTGTCAAACAGTATTCAATGTGGGATAGAATCATACAGTGGAGGTATGGCTTTGCAGCATTGACAGTTAAGAAAGGTCTGATTTGTTTAACATGTTGCAAGTTGAATTTAATGGTATTGGATACTTTCTTAATATGTTTCTTAAAAGTCAAGTTTGAGTCCATTATGACTCCAAGATACTTGAAGTGGGAGACTAGTTCTATTTCTGCTCCGTTTAAAAACACATTGGATCCTTCCATTTTGACTGGTCGTTTATTGAACATTTTCTTTCAGGAAAACCAGAACTGGGATCTCTTCTAACGTCATGGAGTGCACTGAATGTGTCTTCTTTAACTTGTGTATTGTATACTAATACTTGTTTATTGTAACTTGTATTAATACTTTGACACTATGTCAAAAGTACTTTCTATAGCTCTCTCTCTCTCTATATAGTGCATGGTGTATTTGATGTCGTGGAACAAAACGTTAAAATGTTTGTTCACATTGTGTTAACCATACACCTTCAGGGTAAAAACCAAAAACACATTCAGAGAACCATTGACCTCCAGACCAGGGGACAGGAAGAGATGAGATATTTGGTCATCTGTCTGTGCAGGCACGAGTTCCTAAACTAGGAACTCGTGCCTGCACAGACAGATGACCAAATATGGTGTTGAGTTAGTCATCAAGCGTCACACCTTAATCAGAGTTCAGAAAAACTTGAGAATTGTGGGTAAAAAACTGAATCCTGTAAATAATTTGTAATCAATCCAGAGAAAACGTTTTGGAATTTTGAGAAAAATAATTAGAATTCAGAAAAAAAAGATTTAGGAGAAAAAACTCTGAATTTATTACATTTTATTTTTGGCCATTATTATTTCCCTTTTGGCAGAACCACAGAGTTCCAGACGAGGGGACAGGAAGGGATGAAATGCTGAGTCGTGTCTTTGTTTTAGAGTGTAACCGGTGTGGATCAGCGGTGTCCGTGTTGTGTGTCTTTTGAAGGATGAGACCCGAGTCAGCATACCGTCGAGCCGCTCTCCCTTTATTCACTGACAACAGATATACAACAAATCAGTCGTTATTAAATCAGTTTCCCCACACTGACTCCTCTCACGTGGAACACACTCACAAAAAGAGAAGAGGAACACGTGAGGGACACAAAATGAAGGGGGGGGGGGGGGGGAAGTCCCACAAAAATAATCCTCTGTGTTCAGTGACTGAATTCTGGAGGTTTCAGACCTAGTCAGGTATTGAACGTTTAGTAAATGAAGAACACAGAATTATTGAATACAAAACACGGAATTGATGTGATTATAATAAGAGATATTTGACACTAAACACCACTGCATATTTACAGCTGTTACACTAGTTTCTGAACAAACCGAATACCATATATGATGTTGAGTAAGACGTAAACCGTCACACCTTAATCAGAATTCAGAAAGAAAGTAAGACAAAATAATTCAGAAGAAAAGTCAGAAATAGGGAAAAATACAACTCATTCTGGGAATGACTTTTGGCTATTGTTATTTCCTTTGGGCAGAGCTGCTTTGATAATATGTGAAAAACAATGAACACATCTGTGTCTCCCCATGTTGAGATAACTTAAGACCTTTATTCATACATTTAAAATATGTATTTATTCACAATGTTCTTATTGCATGTGCCTTATCTCTAAAGTGAAAACTAAATATCACAATATATTTGACCAAAAACGTAATAGTGCTGACTGCTCTTCAACGGGAGTGTATTCTCCCGTTAGCTCCGGGTTAGCTCACACGGCTCTAAAGTATTCACTGTCTGACTGTCACACAAGCAGCTGATACATATCCCCAGTTCCCCTTAAGTGAATGTGTGTCAGTCTGAATTGACGCTGTTTGGCATCACAACGCTGTTATGAAAGTTTCTCTGGTATAACATGGGTGATGTTAGCATAGCAACCGAAGCTAAACTGACTACTTGCTAAGCCGTTTTCTACAGGCACTTTTTACCGGCGTATTTTTCATTATGATTCTACTTGTGATAGTCGGACATGACAACCTGTGCAGCCCATGTATTGATTCCATCCGATAGCTGCTATAATAACAAACGTCTGCCTGCTCTCCACAATGATCAATAACAGCGAACGGATGGTCAAAGTAAGGTTTCCTGCACGCCTCGACGTAAGAGAGACGTAAGCGACGCCGCGTCATAGCTCCGAAGCTCTTGCCTCTGGACCGACAATTTTTTGGAGCTGGAAGTGAACCGCATTCCGGAGCTATGACGCGCCGCCGCTGCGGTGTGAACAGGAAAAAACGGGGGGTGTGAAAGGGGCATGTGTGTGTAATTATATTGCAGCTATACTTTGGTTTAAATTCCATGACTAAAATAGCTAGAGGGCAAAAGTTAATTTAATTCATCAGACCTTTTAACGAAAGTTTCAATGCTTTTCTTTCATTATAATGAATGGGGTCTGCCCCTGAGCCCCACTAGCATGTTTTGGACCTCAGTATTTACGAAATCCTGGATACGGGCCTGTATGCAGCAAACAGTCGTTGCTTTAAACACACATAACGGTGTTAGGCTAGAGCAAAAAAGTGTTGCAGCTTTTCAAATTGACGCACTGCGTAGTGCGCACACAGCGCTACCTTGTAATGCAAGTGGATGTCCCTCTCGTCAAACGGACTATAGCAGAGGATAGTTTAGGTTTGCTAATGGCAGCACCTGAGCGCCAACGTAGTGCGCATGCGTCTTTGAGTACCCGCTGGGAACATACGTCTCCCTGGGAAAATCAATATTGTTTCCTGTTAAAGGCAAAAGGATCAATGGAACATGATTTTAGAGGGCTGAGTAGAGTCCCTGCAGCCTGTGAGAAGTGCCTGTACGCTAGGGATGTTAAGATTCACCGATTCGCACCGGCATAAACGTTCAAGATGCGAGTGCACCGGTTGAAAGAGTGCACCGGTTGAAAGAGTGCACATCAGCTACAGTTTGGGTTGAACTCGCGATGCATCGATTGTAGCGTCTTTGCATCGGTAAAAAAACGATTCATTCATATAATATCCTCTCATCCTGTCAGCACTCAGCAGAGACGATCTTTGATCTTTGATCTTTGCTTCGCCACTACGGAGGCCGAGAGTCTCAGTTATCAACACACATGGAAGTCGAGGAGAAAGAGAAACACAACGCACCGAAAAATATCTACGAATCTAACGTTTGGCAACACTTCGGATTTTTCAAGAAAGACGGTCAACTTGAAAAATCGCTCACAAATTGTAAACGATGCCGTGCAGCTTTAAAGTACACAAGTCGTACGAGGAACTTAGCGACGCACATAAAGAGGCGACATGGGGTCTGCGGCTGAAAAGAGAAACCTGAAAGTTAGACATGAGTTCAATCACTCAGTGAGGTGTTCTGTCAGTGAGAGTGGTGTTTAGTTTACAACAGCCTGTGACTGCCAATAATAGTTTAAATGTCTTCCTTACTGTAAGCAGTTATGAAATACCTGTGAAAGGTTATTTTCTTTATTGTTCACATAGAAACCACTGCTTTCTGCTCACTGGTGAGTTAGCCTATGGATGAGTGTTAAGCACATCAGGCTGGTATGGGCATTGCACGATGGTAGTTGTTATTTGCACATTGTTAATCATGGGCAATGCATCCTTAAATTGTTTAACTGGGAGGTGTTATACAATTGTACTTTACTCTGGAGAGTGTTTTAAGGTAAAAAAGGTAAAAAAGAAACAGCATGATGGGATGCGCAGTACTAGTAGAGAGAACCAAATATGTAAAGCACTTTTTTGTTAATGTATGATTTGCTGCATATAAGGAATAAAACAAAATCCTCTGTCGTACCATATTGAAGTATCATTATTTTGCATCGTGTAGAATCGCATCGTATCGCCCCGTATCGCATAATGTTGAATCAAATCGCATCGAACTGTATCGCAACAGGGGTGAATCGTATCGTATCGCATCGCCTGGTGTTTCAAATGTATCGTTAATGTATCGTATCGTTGGCAACGTATCGAGATGCGCATCGCATCGGCCTCAGTGATGGAGATGCACATCCCTAGTGTACGCAAATAGTCACGATACGCCAAAGAATAAAATGTGGAAGTGCCGGTACTGCGTAGCGGTGAGTAGTGGCCCACTTCGAGCACTGGTTTTAGCAATAACATTCTCAGACCCAGGCTCCTCCAACAGTGCGACTTTGGATAGACATCAAGGAAATAATGAAAAGAAGTGCAATAAAGCTGTGAAAGTGACACAACTGTTTACATAAATGATGCCAATCACAGCATGTCCCCTCTCAATAAATTAAAAGCTTGTTCTGTTTATTCATTATTTTTATAAGATGAGTGATTCATGAATGGCAATTTATTTAAATGAAATATGTCTTATCATAAAAAGTAACGTGTAATAATGGATTATGATGGATGACGAGAGTGTAGTAATGTGTACAGCAGCTCAAGTAGCTTTTTTAAAAGTTATCTTTGAATTTGGGCTTGATTAGAGTTAGTGGCAATTTGTGGAGTTTTTGTGTCTAATTGAAATCAAAATGTGAGCATGGTTGGACATGATATTACCAAATCATTGAAGTTAACTAACGAGCTGTTGTCGATTTTTTTCAGTTCCTTCAAAACGATGGACTCTGAAGGCAGTGGGACGATGGAGGTGGCGGCGCTCGGACGGCCTTTCAGCCTCGGGATGTTGTACGACTGCCGCAACGACTCTCCCGTCCCTGGTGAGGAAAAAACATCACCTTTAAAACAGACATTTTCTTTTTGCCAGGAACGAAACACACAGATGAAAAGTTATAAATAAGTTATTTAAGATTTGTTGTTGATAGCATGGATTTGACTGTGATGTTGCAGAGTTGGAAGAAGCAGGTTTGGACTAGCTTGTTTATGTGAGGCTCAAGTTTAGATTCTGGTCAAAGATCACACCCAGGTTTCTTGTGTATGGTTCATCGTTGAGGGCCAGGGTGTTGATTTATGTCAGAGACAAAGTTACCAGGGACACTAAGAAAGACCTTCATTTTGTGGTTGAATACTTTTAGTTTAACATGCCATGACAATCACAAAATATTCTACAATAGTTAGGCTACTGATTGCTGTTATCTGTCACTGTTACCGCTGAACTGGAAGTTATTTGACTTTTATTGTTTATTGGAATAAACTCTACGGCTAAATGAAGGTTTTCACAGAATTCAAAAACTCTAAATGAACATCTGTTTCCTATAACTGCCATAAAAATAACCCAAAATAACCCTGTATCATAGTGCCTGGCCATATAACTTTCTTTATGGTTTTGCTCAACAACTGCGGTCTGCACCACTCTGTCAGGTTCACAACAAGGATGCAGTGTAACAGTCATGAAAATAGTCAAGTACATTAAACTGATTTGTGTCTTTTTGTCTTGTAAGCAAGAAGATCTTTCTCTATTATCATAAATGTTCTCAGGAATCGAATCACTGAACAAAATCATTCTATATTTCAGTTCTTAACCTGTTAAGCACCAAGCCTGTTTTTCATGTTTCAGGCTCGAAAATGACATGCCCAAAACAAATGACTACAACTTAACTTCTAAAAGGGTTATATGAATAATTTCTTTTATCAAAGCAAGGTTACATCTGTGAGTTGGATGTAGAAGTGTCAGAATCAATATAAATGTTTTTTATTTTAAAGAAAATTCAGATTTTACATAGTAAAAAACTGTAAATTATAGTGTCCGTCCAAAGATTATTTTTTACAGATAGTGAAAACTACCCTTGGATGATGGGTTAGTAGACTAAAAGCTTTAGGAATCCAAAGTACAACATATAATAAGTACCCTGTATCAAGATTGATGCAAAACAAGTGACATTTGACCTTTGAAGAGAGGTTTAGCCAAAACCACCCCACCTCTGAGGTGATTTGGGTGAAAATGTTTTTTTCTATATCTCTGGCCCCCCTTGCTCGATTTGGATGGTTGACACCTCTTTCTGACCGTTCTGGCCAATAGAATCGAAGGGGGAGGCTCACACACACACTCATTGGGAAGAGAAAAGGTGAGGGCTGCGCGCATGTAAATGTAAAGCAGAGTGGAGCTATCTCTCCCTCTGGCATTTGGAAACGAAAAAGCAGTTTTATTGCTTATGGATTATCAGAAATCATTTCAAAGAAGGCACAGATACATTGGATGAACCTATGGATTAACTGCAGCATCGTTTTTTTATCGTTTTAATGCCATTGAAGACCCGTTTTGACCAAGGTAAGCCATGTTAGCGTTTCTAGCTACTTAGCTCCACATGTTATGATGTACGCTTTCGTTTATAGCGTCGCAAATGTTTATCACTGAGTGTTGAGGTGGGCACCCCCAGATTCTGTGTCTCCAGGACACCAAAAACGAGTGGTTGGCTGTGCATCTAGGATAAGTAATAAGGGAGTTAGAGTGAGTTTAAGTGCCGTTTTAGGTTAAATTGTTTCGCTCGTGGCTAATTCAGAGGCTGAGTGTTAGCATTGTGGGGTTTTTTTGAATTTTTTTTTTAAAAAGATCCGTTAGCTGAGTTTCTTCCCGTTACATGGATCTAAAACATTCATAGTTTTATTAAATATTAAGATTCCTTAGACGTTGTTTCCTGCAAATGACGCGTTTATCCGCCCGGTACCGGGGGGGGGCCGTGGTTAACAACAGGAAAGCTAAAATTATTGGAAGTACGATGCGTTGATTCCCCTTAAAATTATTGTGTGTATTAACAATGAATCTGGTTCTAGCTTGATTTTGGTTCTTCTTTTGCAGGAATGACTTTGTGGGACCGTGATGACCTTAAAAATCATATTGGAGAAAGACCACAGAACTATAATGATTGTGATATAGTTGCATCTGAATCAATTGAGGATAAATCTTCAGCACTAAATGTTGAAGCATCACTGAAGGCAAGTTTCTTGTGTGGACTGGTAAACGTTGGTGGATCAGCCAAATACTTGAACGATAGCAAGACTTCCAAAAATCAGGCCAGAGTAACACTGAAGTACCAAGCTACCACAAAGGTCCAAGAACTGTCCATGAATCATCTTGGAAGAGGCAATGTTAAGCATCCATATGTCTTTGATCAAGGAATAGCCACACATGTAGTCACAGGTATCCTTTATGGCGCACAAGCCTTCTTTGTCTTTGACCGTGAGGTGTCTGCCAACGAGAACCATCGAGACATTCAGGGCAACTTGAAGGTGATGATCAAGAAAATTAGCTCCGTTTCAATAGATTGTGAAGGCTCGCTGAAAATGGAAGACAAGGACAAAGCACATGTTGAGAAATTCTCCTGCAGATTCATTGGCGACTTTTTAGTTCAGAAACCTCCAACATCCTTTCAGGAGGCAGTAGAGGTGTACCAAAGTCTGCCAAAGCTGCTGGGAGCCAACGGGGAAAACGCAGTACCAGTGAAGGTCTGGCTGTTGCCTCTGACATCTTTAGATTCTAAAGCCGCTAAACTTGTCCGTCAGATAAGTGTAGGATTAGTTGAAGAATGTCAGAGTGTCCTGGAGGACTTCAGTGACCTGGAAATGAGGTGCAATGATGCACTGAGAACCCAAACTGCACATCAGTTCCCACCGATTGGAAACAAACTCAAAACCTTTAAACAGAAGTGCTCTCAGTTCAAACTGGAATTCCAACAAACCCTGGCAAAGAAACTTCCATCAATCCGAGGAGGAGGAGAAGAAGAAGCTGTGCTCGCAGAGATCCTGAGGAAGACATGTTCTTCTCCTTTCAACAGCAAGGACCTGAACGAGTGGATGGACTGTAAGGAGAGAGAAATATACACCGTGATGTCTCTGACCGACATGATGACAAACACCAAGATCATCTCATCTCAAACAGACCTGAACAAAGAAATTCTCAAAGCAGAGCATGCTGTGTGTTTTGTCTTCACCTCGCTGGGAAGAGATGAACCGTACCTCTCAACTTTATCAAACTACCTTAAACAAACACCCAAACCAGATGAAGCTCAAGATCCCCCCCCTCCAGATCAATGGTACAACTCAAAAAAAGAAGGGGAAGCAATGCGGCATAAAGCAAAGCTCTTCAGTGATTTTGCAGAGGCCAACAAGGAGAACAAGAACATCACATTCCTGACGGTGGGTTTAACAAACGAGACACAGAAAGGTGCCAGCATCTACCTTTATACAGACGGCCTTTCTGTCAATGAGAACTTTGAGCCGCCTTCAAAGCCTGCAACAGTAACAGGAAGTGATATAAACCACAGCAGTGTGACGCTGAAGATTTCTCCACCCAGATTTGGAGCAGAGGACATCTCCTCCTACTCTGTTGAGTACTGTGTCAGAGGAGAGGACGGCTGGAAACAAAAGACAGCATCCAAAGCTGAAGAAGTCACAGTGAGCGGCCTGAGTCCTAACACAGAGTACATGTTCAGATGCAGGGCAGAGACACCAGTAGGTGCCGGGCCAGCCAATGAAGTCAGTGGATCCATTCAAACCTTACCCTGCAGCCCTCCTGGAAAACTCCACGTTGAATCTACCTCACGTGAGATATCAGTCAGCTGGGAGAAACCTGCTGAGCTCGGACAAGATGTCCACGTTTTGAGCTACATCGTGGAGTACGCCAAACCAGACCACCAGGTGAAAGAGGAAGATCTCCACTGGGAGCAAATGAAGGCGGAAGCTGAGAGGGCGATCATTTCAGGACTTCAGCTAGAGACAGAATACGCTGTCAGGGTCAGGTGTGATTGTGGTGCAGCTGGAAGAAGCAAAGAAAGCATCGCTGTTAATGTCGGCACAACTAAACCTTTACGTCTCGCAGAATTCCTCAAAAGTAAAAGCAAGAGGATCAATTCTGAATCTCCCTCAGTTTACAAACTGCCTCTGACAGAAGAAGATATGGAAGTTGATGGATGCCGAGGGTACACCTTTGGCAAAGAAAGCATCACACGAAATCGTACAATAATGCTTCTCGGAGCAACTGGATCTGGAAAGTCCACTCTGATCAATGGACTCATCAACTACATCGTTGGTGTAGAGTGGGAGGACAATTTCAGATTCAAATTAGTTCACGAGGATCAGTCGAGATCTCAAGCTGAGAGCCAGACCTCTGAAGTCACTGTGTACAACATCAACCACCAAGAGGACTTTAAAATCCCTTTCTCTCTGACCGTTGTTGATACTCCAGGCTTTGGAGATTCAAGAGGAATAGATAGAGACGAGGAGATCAAAGAACAGATTTGTAATCTCTTCTCTTCAGAGCGTGGTGTCAGTGAAATTGACGCTGTGTGTTTTGTAGCTCAGGCTGCTTTAGCTCGGCTCACACCAACACAGAAGTATGTGTTTGATGCTGTGCTCTCAATCTTTGGCAAAGATGTGGCAGAAAACCTCCAGGTTCTGGTGACATTCGCAGTCGGCCAACTCCCACCAGTTCTAGAGGCGATCAAAGCTTCAGGTGTCCCATATCCTAAAACAAAAGACGGGCTGCCAGTTCACTTCAAATTCAATAATTCTGCATTGTTTGCACAGAACCAATCATCTGCTGCTGCTGACTCCAGTGAGGATGAGGAAGATGGAGGCTTTGATCAGAGGTTCTGGAAAATGGGGGCAAAAAGCATGAAGAGGTTCTTTGTTGCTTTAAATAAGATAACACCCAAAAGCTTGACATTGACAAAGGAAGTCCTCAGCGAAAGAAGGCAGCTCCAGATCTCAATGGAACATTTGCAACAGCAGGTTAAAGTAGGGTTAGCCAAGCTTGAGACGATAAAAGAGACAACTGAACAACTTAAACTGCATGAAGCAGAGATCAGCAGAAATGAGACATTTGAGTTTGAAGTAGTCGTCATGAAGCCTGTTCAAGTAGATATATCAGGCACTGGAAAGTGCACCACCAACTGTGTCATGTGTCATATCACCTGTCACTATCCATGTAAACGTCCCAATGATGCAGATAAAAGAAAGTGTTGGGCCATGGGACGAGATGGAAACTGTAAAATGTGTGAAGGCAAATGTCATTGGAGTCAACATGTTAACCAGAAGTACAGATTGGTGTATAAGGAGGTTAAAGAAAAGCAAACATTTGAGGATCTGAAACAAAAGTACCATGTAGCCTCAGAGGCTAAGGGAACTGTTCAGGAAGTGATCGACAAGCTGAAGGTTGAATATCAGCGTCATCAGACTGAAGTGAGGGAGATAATGCAGAGAGCTGCTGAGTGTCTGAACAGACTAGGAGAGATCGCACTGAAGCCAAATCCTCTCTCCACTCCAGAGTACATTGACCTGCTCATTAGGGGAGAGAAATCTGAGGCCGAGTCAGGCTGGAAGCAACGAGTCGAGCACCTGATGGAGATGAGAGGACAAGCAGAGCTCATGGGTAAAGCAAGGAGAGGAGAACACCTGCTTTAAAGTGAAGAATCTTAAACTGAGGGCAACATCAAGACCAGCTCCAACTGAGACCAAGACAAGAGCTGAACATGATATCAAAGAAGAGACGTGTAAATGCAAAATTAAACAAGACAGGATAGTGATCAAGAGTCCTTGATGGCCAACACAACCAAGTGACGATGACACAAATGTTCATGGGACATCTTTTTTTTTTATTCTGTTCTTACAAAGTTATCGTTTAACTGTTTTTTTTTAATTACATCACATGTCACTTGTAAGTCGCTTTTATCCAAAGCGACTTACATACTCAACACTGTGGACAATCCCCACAGGAGCAATTTGGGGTGAAGTGTCTCAGGGACACAACGACACGCTGACTGCAGTGGGGTTTGAACCTGTGCCCCCCTGATCCCAACACCAAGGCTCTATCCACTGTGCCACACGCCTCCCTTTAATCATGAAGGATTACATTTTTCAAAGCAAGATGGTTGGTCTTGAAGAAATGCTGAAGGAGCAGCCGAGAGAAGCTCCTCCAGAGTCCACAGTGATCACAAATCCTTTGGATCAAAACCAAACCAAGACCAAACAGATGGCAGCAAGACCAAGAGGAGATCTATCAACAAACTGGAAGACGTCTGTGTTTTTATATCTGAGATGATCTCACCAACCCTGGGACCCATCTACTTCCTGTTTGGCATGTGTGTTGCTATGGACCAGGGGGAGGTGCTGCCCCGTGTGAGGCTGTTTGGATCAGAGGTTCTGTAGGAATATGAGAGAACCCGGTCCACCCAGCGCTGAGGTGGAATGCAGTTCAAAGTGAAATGTTGGACTCTTTACTTCACCACTCTACTCTTTACTCTTCTGCATCGGGTACCTTTACATTTATTACTATAGCTTCATTTTGATTATACTTTTACACACTTTCACCTGTGTGACATTTTGAATGCAGGACTTCTACTTGTAACAGTATCTATACAATGTGGTATTATACCTTTAACCAAAGTAAAGTATCTGAATACTTCTTCCGTCACTGATACAACACATGAAGTCCAAATAGACCCGCACTCAGAGCTCTAGTGTTAATCAATGAATTACAAAGCTTTATTGTTCTCCTGCACAAACATCTCCCTGCAGGAGCAATCTGCATGTTCTGTTTGACAGGAAGTAACATGTACCATGTGCATGAAATGTGAAAGTGTGATTGTTTTGTGCAGAAATCATTAACGTCCTGACACCATTACCACCAATGGAAAAGATTAAACCTGCAAGTTTATTAAAAGTGATGTTTATTTTCTATTATGATCATTTACAAATATCAGATTATTGCTAAATGTTTTTTCTGCTCTTCATGTTATTTCCTTTGAGATGTGTAACTCTACGTGAGTTTTGTTAATGATGGATTGTATTGCTGAGTGTCCTGAAATGATACGGTGGCTCCTGCTGGATGATGGAGACCTTTCTAAACGTTAAACAATAACTCAGACTAATGTCAAGTTTATTTTAATCAGAACAACAGATATGAGAATAAGGAGATTAAAGAAGATCTATCAACAGCTGAAGGGAAAAAGTATAACTTTTAAATATTGTATTTTTCACATAAGTTTGAATTTATTTCCATTGTAATCGTTTTACTGTGTTGTTGTTTTAACCGGGTTATCAGCTTCCTGCTTAGTTTAACATTCTTACTATTAGTTTAATATTCTTTGAGTTTTAAAAACATTATACCTGATACTGATGTGTATTGATTATCATTTACTGACAGATGGAGAAATCATTCATTAACAATAAATACATGTCATTTTGTCTCAAATGTTTCTGGCCTTCTTTATCTCCTCGTTTCAAAGCCTCTAAAACATTTACCCAAATACTGAAGTTCAGTTTAGAGCAGGGCTCTCCAACACGTCGATCGCGAGCTACCGGTAGCTCGCGGGCAGCTTTTCAGTAGCTCGCCGCTCGATTATCGATTATAGCGTAGTAAGGTTGCTTATTGATTTTTCGGCCGCGGCTGGACCATAACGTTTTTTTATTTTAGAATTTTTTCTGTCACATGAATATCAAATGGTCGGTGACGCAGAGATCAAGGAACAGACGTGACAGCAGCACAGCGACATCACACACGGAGCAGTCTGCTTTCTCCACCAACACCAGTCCAGAACCAACAGCAGAATGACCCGCTCTGAATCAGGCCCTGTCGCTGCGCGTCAGAGACACACAGGGAGGGATTTGTGTTTTTTGAAAAACACTCGTTATCGTCATGTCAGGTTATTGGTGGATTTAATCAAGTCTTGGATTGCAGAGTATGAATGTCCTCTTGCTATTTTCAGTTGATAAATACTTGTGTAAAGTTTGTGAAGGCAGGAGGAAAGCTTCCGCGATCACCGTCTCCTCTCTGTTCCTCCAAACCCCGCCCCCTCCCTGAAAATAATGAGTGACAGGCTGATAGTGACCCGATAGAAACTTTATTATTCACTTAATCACTGATTGAGATATGATGAAGCTAACTTAATCTCATACATTCATGGGATTTATGTAACAGTAAGACAGAGAATGTAAGTGTGCACCCACATGCACTATTTTTGTTTTTATAATGCTATTGTAAATACTCCTGCTGTGTTCAGACTTAAGTCCTGTGTGTGATGCATTCAAGACATTCAGTGTCTTTTTTTTAACAGAAGACTAGCTAGAAGCTGCAGCTAGACTGCAGAAGTATTCGTTTTTTGTTTTTGAGAATGGAACCATTTTCACACACAGATATAGGGAGGCTAGACCTATACAATTGATTTATTATGGTTTATAATTTAATGTCAAGACGAAGAAGAAGAAGAAAAAGATGGCTGAACAACTGTTCAGTGTCAATCCTGTGGAGATCTCCAAAATAATGTTCAGCTTAAGTCTCAGCAAAACTCACAACATTTCTGGAGCCTTGTAGACCCAGAAAACTATAAGAACATTCACCAAGCAGCACTGAAAATGTCTGCTTTATTTGGTTCTGTTCTACATACCTTTGTGAAGCAGCTTTTTCTGACATGAATGAAATCTAAATACAGAACAAGACCAACTGATGAACATTTAAATGACTCTATTAAGTGAACCTAAGTGGGTCCAGCATACACCTCTGTGGTGGACTGCATGCAGTGCCATTCATCTCACTAACAAAAGAGTGAAATGCTTGTAAGGTGGTGATTAAGGACACTTATGTGAATGTTCAGTGATGTACTTATTATGTGGGCCATAATAATATGTGAGAAATCTTCGTTTTCTTGGACCTTATTTTTGATAAGCTTTAGGTATTGCAATTTCACACGTGTACAAAAGTATAGCTTAATTCAACTGATGAGGGCTATGTGAATAAATGTAAGCGATGTGATGCAAGTAGCTCTTGGCCACTTTCATTTTTTGAAAGTAGCTCTCAGATGAAGAAAGGTTGGAGACCCCTGGTTTAGAGGTACTTGTACTTTACTTGAGTATTTCCATGTTACTTTATATGTTACCTCTCCAAGTTAGATTTCAGAAAATCACTAAATCTCCATGTAATCACTAAAGAAGAACATGAGTAGACTGATTGCAGAGTCATTCAAATGAGCAGAACATAATGTTAACCTCCAATAGTGTGTCTGACCCTGCAGTGTAAACGCTCCCTCACTTTAGATCTGAGAATGTATTGAAGGGTAGCCCCTTGAGATGGAGCATCTCATCTTCGAGGGGTCCTAAAACATAAATACACTAATTAGAATAAATAAATCTGGTTTAAAGGAATAAATGTAATATTAAACTATCTTTAATATTATAATGATAAATAATAATAATGTTACCGGTTAGAAAGATGCAAACAACTAGAATATATTTCCAGGAGAATGAGGAGAACGGCGAGCCCGAGGTAGATGATGAAGATGATGATGAAGTGGATGAGGAGGAGGAGGAAGATGACGTAGAAGGTAAGCTAAAAGATTCTGTGATTTTTCAGGATTAAATGTTTTCTGAAAGTTGTGCAAAAAGCTAATTGGTCTCTTCCAGCCGGCGATGAGGAAGACGAGGAGGACGATGACGATGAACTTGAGGGCGGCACAAAACGGCCAGCTGACGACGACGATGACGACGATGAGGTGCGCCCCCCCGACCTTCATCAATGATAATCCGACCAATCAGGAGCCTTTAACTGAACCCTTCTTCTTCTTCTCTTCCCGCAGGACGACGTTAAAACCAAGAAGCAGAAAACCGACGACGACGATTGATGCGTTTCCCTCGCTCGCGACTTCCCGCTGAATCACTTCCTGCTTCTCCGCCTGCGACCGTTTTCATTGGTCGCGAGGGGCAGGAGGACTGATTCAAAAGGAAAGAAAATTATAATAAAGTAAAAAAAAAAGAAAAATCCAACATGGTCATTAGCAAGTAGAGTTCAACAAACATCTACACACACACACACACACACACACACACACACACACACACACACACACACACACACACACACACACACACACACACACACACACACACACACACACACACACACACACACACACACACAACACTCGTATCCCCGCAAAACAAATTTTCTAGAGCCACCACATGGCCCCAGAAATCCGGCTTCTCTTCAACAACAACAACAACCACAACAAAGGAGAATTTGTTTGTATTTTTATTTACATTTTATATTTTTGTACATATTGTTCGGAGGGGGGGGGGGTCAGTTTCTCTCTCGGCAGCGATCTCGTCCGACCACATCGGTGCTTCTTTAAGGAAGAGATTTGACTTGGTTGACTGTGTTACGATATCTCAACAGAAAACAAACCCAGAAGACGAACCTCTCGAAGCAAAAATGCAACACACGGGAAACCAGGGATAGTCGGTAACCAGCTTTATTAAAGGCAATAAGCTGGTAGGAGACGAAACGGCAGATAGTAGGCAAAGGGCTGGTTGGGGACAGGCGAGGGTTCCAGGAGAAGGCAAGACGGGAGTCGCAGGTACAGACCGGGTCAGGGAGCAGGCGAGGCAGAATAGTCCGGGTACAGGCAGGGTCAGGAAAACAGCAATCTGGAAGGTAATGCAGGAAAGACTGGCATGCTGCAAAGTACGATCTGGCACTGAGGTGAAAGTGAAGTGGGCCTATATACTAATGGAGCTGATGGGTGTAACAGAGTGAGAGAGAGAGACAGGGTGTGACTACCAGGTGACTAAGGAATGTTAATGCAGAAAATAGGTGAGTGAGAAAGCAGACTGTGACAGAATGGACGGCTCCTGACGTCTAAGACAATACTACGAGAAAAAATTAAAAATCAACAAAAAACCTACAGACAGGGTGGAAGGTGGGGGTATGGGAAAGGTTAGTACTCATCTGAGAATGCTCTCTCGGCCTCCCTCTCCTGGAAATCCTCGTCCTCCTCGACTGAAGACGCCTCCCCTTCCTCCTCGACGAAGCCCCTGGTCTGTAGCTGACGAGTACCCCCCGGCTTAACGCCTGGTTGAGCGTGGGTCCTAGAAGGCTGCTCCGGGTAACGCAGGTGGAAGTCTCGGATGAGTTGAGGGTTGAGGATGTGACGAGCAGGAATCCACTGCCTCTCCTCAGGACCATAGCCCTCCCAGTCCACCAAATATTGAACCCCTCTTCCTCTGCGTCGGGAACGAAGTAGGCGACGAAGGGTGTAGGTAGGACCCCCATTGATCATCCTAGGGGGTGGTGGTGGAGGAGCGGCGGGAATCATAGAACTCTCCCGGACAGGTTTAATCCTAGAAACGTGGAAGGTGGGATGGATTTTCATGTTCCGGGGCAAACTCAGTCGAACCGCTGCAGGGTTAATGACCTTGACAATCTCGAAGGGTCCAATAAACCTGGGCGCTAACTTCTTAGACTCCACCCGAAGGGGAATGTTCTGAGTGGAAAGCCACACCCTCTGGCCTACCTGGTACACAGGTGCCTTGGTGCGTCGGCGGTTCGCTGATGTGGCGTACCGGTTAGCAGACTGAAGCAGAGTTGTTCGAGCCTGCCTCCAAGTCATCCGACAACGTCTGATGAAAGCCTGGACAGACGGACAGGTAACCTCCTTCTCCAATGCAAAGAACAAAGGGGGTTGAAAACCGTAAGCACACTGAAAAGGGGAAAGACCAGTAGCGGAACTGATGAGGGTGTTGTGGGCATACTCCACCCACAGGAGTTGTTTAGACCAGGTCGTTGGATGATCGGAAACCATGCAGCGGAGAGTGGTCTCCATCTCCTGATTCTTCCGTTCGGTCTGACCATTGGCCTGTGGGTGGAAACCGGAGGTGAGACTGACCGTCGCCCCGATCAGTTCACAAAACTCCCTCCAAAACACAGAGGTGAACTGGGGCCCCCGGTCGGAAACCACATCAGTCGCCAGTCCGTGAAGGCGGAAAACGTGGAGAAGAATAAGTTCTGCCGTCTCCTTAGCTGACGGGATCTTAGGCAGGGGTACGAAATGAGCCATCTTGCTAAACCGATCCACCACCGTCAAGATGGCAGTATGTCCGTGGGACGGTGGTAGACCAGTCACAAAGTCCAAAGAAATAAGTGACCATGGGCGACGTGGGACCGGTAATGGATGAAGGAGGCCAGCTGGCGCTTGGTGAGAGGGTTTGTGCCGATTGCACACAGGACAGGCGTTCACAAACTCCCGGGTGTCAGCCTCCAGCGTGGCCCACCAGAACCGTTGCAGGACCATCCCTCTGGTACGTTGAATCCCAGGGTGGCAGGAAAGTCTGGAGCTGTGAGCCCACTGAAGCACCTCAGCCCTCAAAACCTGAGGCACAAACAAACGGTTAAGAGGACAAGAACTAGGACCGGGTTGGTCCACCAAAGCGGTCTTAACCCTCTCCTCAATCTCCCAAGCGAGGACGCCGATCACTCGAGGAGCAGGAAGAATAGTGTCCGGGATACCGCAGGTGTCTCCCTCCCTCCCGAACTGCCGAGACAGAGCGTCGGCCTTCACGTTGCGGGAGCCCGGGCGGTAGGAGAGGAAAAAATGTAACCGGGTGAAAAATAACGACCGCCTGGCTTGCCGGGAATTCAGTCTTTGTGCCGACCTGATGTATTCCAGGTCCTTATGGTCGGTCCAAACCTGAAATGGTTGTTCTGTCCCCTCAAGCCAGTGTCGCCACTCCTCCAACGCCAACTTGACTGCTAGAAGCTCCCGGTTCCCCACGTCGTAGTTTCTCTCCGCCGGACTCAATCTCCTCGAAAAGAAAGCACAGGGGTGGAGCTTCTGGTTCTCACCAGAACATTGCGACAGGATGGCCCCCACCCCTACGTCAGAAGCATCCACCTCCACCACCAACTGACCAGCATGGTCTGGTACTTGCAGGATAGGAGCCGACGTAAACCGGCGCTTGAGGTCCTGAAAAGCCTACTCGGCTGCATGGGACCATCTGAATGTTACTTTGGACGAGGTCAGGGCGGTGAGCGGGGCGGCCACGGTACTGTAGCCACGGATGAACCGTCTGTAAAAGTTAGCGAATCCCAGGAAACGCTGCAGCTCCTTCCGGGAATCAGGAACCTGCCACGAGGTAACCGCTGAAACTTTGGAGGGATCCATCTCCACACTTCCTTGACCCACGATGTAGCCAAGATAGGCGACCGAAGAAGTGTGAAACTCGCACTTCTCCGTCTTGACAAAAAGCGAGTTCTCCAGAAGTCTCTGGAGGACTGTCTGGACATGGTGGATGTGTTCTTTGAGGCTCCTTGAAAAAATCAAAATGTCGTCCAGATAAACAAAAACATAACGATCCAACATGTCCCAGAGTACGTCGTTCACCAACGCTTGGAAAACTGCAGGGGCGTTGGTAAGTCCAAATGGCATCACCAGGTACTCATAATGTCCCGAAGAGGTGTTGAAGGCGGTCTTCCATTCATCCCCCTCACGGATTCGTACCAGGTGATATGCGTTTCGTAAATCCAGTTTAGTGAAGATTGTAGCCCCTTGTAGTAACTCGAATGCTGACGAGATGAGTGGCAGGGGATATCGATTCTTCACCGTGACGTCGTTCAGACCCCGATTGTCAATGCAGGGTCTCAGGGTCTTGTCCTTCTTCGCCACAAAAAAAACCCCTGCTCCTGCGGGTGATGTGGAAGGACGAATAATTCCCGCAGCCAGAGAGTCATTGACGTAAGTCTCCATGGATTTCCTCTCTGGTGCCGAAAGCGAGTACAACCGACCCTTGGGTGGGACTGCGCCTGGATGTAGCACAATGGCGCAGTCATAGGGCCGATGAGGTGGGAGAGATGTCGCCTTAGTCTTGCTAAAAACCTCCTTAAAGTCCAAATATTCTGCCGGAACCCCTGTGACATCCGGAACCAGGTTCATATCCACAGATAGTTGAGGTGCGGCGGCCTGCTTGAGGCAAACCTGATGACAGGAGGAACTCCAACCTAGGATGGACCCAGTTGCCCAGTCAATGTTCGGGTTGTGGCGGCGGAGCCATGGATAACCCAAAATCAGAGGAATTTGGGGGGACCGTAGCACATGAAACTGGATAGTCTCATGGTGGTTCCCCGACATGAGCATATGGACCAGTGTCGTCTGGTGTGTCACCGTTCCCAGCAGGTGACCATCCAAAGCATTAGCCGGTACCGGCTGGGGCAACTGAACCTGTTGAATGCCCAGCTGTAGTGCGAGCTCCTCGTCAATGATGCTGACATCTGATCCGGAGTCGATAAAAACAGCCAGAGCCTGAGATTTGCCTGTCAGGAGAAGTCGAGCATGGCACAAGGGTCTTCCATTGGGGATCAGCTCAGAGGTTTGGCCCACCAGTATACTCCCCATTACTGATGAGCTCTGCCTTTTCCCGGACAACGGGAAACAAAATGTCCAGCCTGACCACAGTAAAGGCATAAATTACCTCTTCGACGTAATTCCTTCTCCTCAGAGCTAAGACTGGTACGACCCACTTGCATGGGCTCGACCTCCCCGTACCGTGAGTCAGAGTAGGGGTGGGAATTCTCCGCCGAAAACGGAAGTCTCAATCAACCCATCCAAGGAAGCAGGGAGATCATAGGAAACCAGCTCATCTCTCATATAATCCGCTAATCCTCTCAGATATGCGTCACATTGCGCCGGCTCGTCCCAGCTACTACGGCGGCTGCTGGTGCGGAAGTCAATAGCGTAATCTACCACCGTGCCGGAACCCTGGCTCAAGCTCAGCAGACCTCCGGCAGCATCGGGACCCAGACGAACAGAACCGAACACCTTCCGCATCTCCGCGGAAAATGCAGCAAAAGAGGCGCAGGCTGGAGTCTGCTGCTCCCACTCTGCAGTACCCCATAAACGGGCTTTCCCCGTCAAATGATTAACGGTGAAAGCTACGCGAGGCGCCTCGGAGGCAAAGGTGTGTGGCTGCAGTGAAAACAATATGGAACATTTTGTGAGAAAAGGACTGCATCCCTCAGGCTCACCAGCGTAGCGTTCCAGAGTTCCCACACGAGGCTCCGGAGTGTATCCAGTC